ACCCAGCTGGAGAGACTCTGATTCTGCAGGTTTGAGATGAGGCCCAGAATTCTGCCCTTTTACAAGTACCACGATAATGTGAGTTTTGTCGATGAGTCCATAGAGCTCCTTAATCCTCTGTCTTAGGAGAAATAAACCCACAAGCCCTCCCTTTCCTACAAACTCGAAAATCTGAAGAACACCTGCTAGGCTAACCCATAGAAGTGACCTGACCTTCTAGGTTCTTGCTTGGGTTGGGTCTCCAAGATGACTCTGATCTGAATCCATAATCAAGGAGAGGGACAGAACAGTCATCATGATTCCCAGGTATAAAGTGAACTGTGACTTAGCCTGACAGCTAGACATGGATTCAAAGCATGCAAAGAAACTCTTCGCAGATGTTTATATATCTATCTACTCTTTCCTTCTCTCAAGTGGGGCAGCTCACCTTGCTGTAGTCTCCATGGTAATGGGCCATTTTCCCTCAGCTTCAACTCCAATCTCAGTTTCAAGAATGAGAAAGAGTGGTGAAGAGAGCTGAAGAGAGGTTGGTAAAGTTTTTTATTTATCCCCAAAGAGTAGACGGTCAATATTGACCTGATTGCACAGTAGACAGGGAGACACCATGGCCTTTTTAAAGCAGAGCGCCTTGCTGAGTGGTCAGAGCTAGGGGTGTGTGGGAGATACGTCAACAGTTTTTCTAAAATGCAATTGAATTTGCTCTTCGTTTAGAGCAACCTTCAGAGTACTCCCTTAAGACAGAGAGTATTATAGGTGACAGATCCTAATTATTAATAAGGCGCTAGGTTTTGTCATTTTTAATGTATGAATCACATGCATTTACACTCCCAGATAGTAAGTGAGAAGGGAAAAGAAACACATAACACACTTTATTCAATATCCATTTGTCAAGAATTTCTGTTCCTGTGCACTTCACACTATTTCATCCACTCCAAGGAGTTAACTACATGGGTTAGCAGGATAAATACTCTTTTCCCTCTAGACTTTTCTATGACTTTGCAAACTAGTCAACAATTGAGCACAAAGGCATCCAGAGTCACACTGGAATGTTGTGACAGAACCATCAGATGACATGGGACTCAGCCTCTTCTGTTTATGTCCCAACAGTGACAGCAAAAGTGAATAGAACCCACATCCCAGCCAGCACAGCCTGAGAAAGACTTGACACTCTGACTCCACGGTCCACAGCCACAGACAGAAAATGGCAGCAAACCCCCCAAGAACAGCTCTGGCTTTGCTCTTCTTTGCCCTCTCTTGGGTCCTGGGCACACCAGAAATCTCTTGCAAAAAGGAAGACGGTGGAGCTATGGACTGGTAGGTAAATGAAATGGGATGATTGGTGTGTGCAAATTGAAAGTCAGGGTATGTCTGTGATGAGCCTAAGGAAAACTTTCACCTGGCTTCCTCCCTTTAAAAAGCCAGAGACTGGGGCTGAGGACATGGCTGGGTTGTCAGAGTGCTTGTCTAGCATGCATGAAGCTCTGGGCTCAGTCCCCAGCACCACATAAACTAGGCAAGATGGGACACACTGTAATCCCAGCAGAAGTATCAGAAGTTCAAGGCCATTCTCAGCAACAAAGTGCGTTCTATGCCAGATTGGATTATATGAGATCTTGTTTTTAATGAATAGATACACAAATTAATTAATTAAAAAGAAAAAGACTTAAAGTGTGCCAATGGGCTCGATTCCCAAGCAGAGCTAGTTGCTGAGTGGGTGAGTTGCCGCTGAGAATGAGCCAAGCAGTTCTCTGGAGCCTGAGTGGGTGCTCTTGGGGGGCGGGGCAGAGTGCAACCGAGCTGACAGCTGTCACTTGGCAATTACTTTTCGTTGCGTGTGCTTTTTCTGAGATACAAAGTCAGGAAAGCACAGGGCTTTTTCTAAAACTGAGGCATACCTTTCTCCTCAGGGGAACAAGAGAAACTACTTGATGGAGCCAAGCATTGCTTGGTTAACCTTCATTTAGCCCAGGCATTGGGCAGGAGTGACTGGGAGGTTCTTAGTCTCTATCACAGTGTCAGAGACAAACCACCCTATGTCAATGTGGTGAGATCCTCTTTGGAGATCTGGCTGCTTTTCCACTCTTCAACTCTGGTGTTTAGGTCTGCCATGGCAGTTGACATCGTTGTGGGAACTTCGAATAAAGAGCATCAATCAATTCAGTCTTTCACCATCTATGAGCTCTGACCAGGCCCTGCCCTGAGTTTTAAAGACAAAGATATGAACAAAACGTATTTCCTACCCTCAAGGGAGCTCAGTTCTGTGGGATGGACATAGGACATTAGGAAGCACACAGCCCAGAAAGCCTCTTTGAGGAAGTAACTTTGGGCCAAGTTTTAAGAATAATTATGAAGTTGTTTTAAAAATAATAGGGAGATGTCATGTCAGCTCAGGTCAACAGAGGAGCAAAGAGTCAGTGCAGAATCAGGAGGTGGCAAGGGAAGTTTGGCACTCAGAGTGTGTCACACTGCTTGAGATGAGGAGAATGCGCCAAGGTGTCTGCAGATGAAACTACAATAACGGGTAGGCCAAGCCAGGAAGGGCTTCCAGGGCTGTGCTTTGGGATGTGAACCTGATGTTGAAAGGGACTTGGAACAAGGTTGAGATACGACCCAATCTGCATGGCAATAGTGCAAAGACAGATGGGAGAGAATCAGTCTAGAACCGCAGAGTGAAAGGATTTCCACAGCATGTACAGACCAGAGTTAAAGAGCTGGTAGTGGAAACAGAGGACAGGAACAGCCCGGGAAGAGGGGACGTAGGTGGGCACCTGGGGGGGGGGTGGCTTCTGAGAGCACATGTTCAATAATAGCATAGGATGAATAGGTTTGGTGCAAACACTATGAACTTGGTTTAAAAAGTGTGGAGCTAGAAGCTTCTGGGCCTCCTTTTCTCTAGATATCTAACTCAACCTGGAGTTTTAGGCTAGAAACTGCATACAGAGATGGTCACCCAGGAAAAAATAACTAAAAGTGTCACTGTCACCTAGAGACAATGACATGGTAGCAGTCAGTTACTCTACTGGGGGCGGGGATACCAAATTGTGACTGACAGAATTCTTTTTTCACCATGACTGAAAGGGTTTATTTAGTAATATGTGTCAAAAAGACAGGCACAGCTGCTTAGCAGAGGAATTGCTCGACTGTCACAAAATCAGCATATTTCCTGCCACATGTGATGACTTGGACCTGTGGATAACAAGGCAGGACACTAGAACAGAAACCTAAGTCTGTAGAGGACCAGGCGAGGAGTGTGATGCTCTTGGGCAGACTGTTGCATTATGATGGTGTATGTACTGTATTTGGCTCACTGAGTCTCTTGTGGTTAATTCCAGGATTTTATGCTGCTGTAGTGTATTTGACTAGACCAGTAGTTTTTAAATTAGGCCAAATTTGCTTTTGGAGGACTTTTGACAAGGTATTAGAGACAGTTTTGATAGTTACAAGTTCGGAATACTATTGGCATCTAAAAGGGGGAGGCCAGATATCCTACGGGACACAGGGCAGCTCAATAAAAAGAAACCTTGACCTTAATGAGACTACAGCACATGAGAAAGCCTGAGCTTTCCTGGCATGACCTAAGGCTGGCTGAATGCTACATAGGCCCAACCACTTGTCCTCACCATGAGATATGCAGAGAAAATAACAAGCAGAATAACCACAGGCACAAGAAGAGAAGGCAGCTTCAAACACTTGATGAGCACATCCTCCATCCAGAACATTCCAATAAACTGAGCTGAAAAAGTTGCTTGGGATCAAGCTACAAGAAAGCCTCCAGCTCAGACAAAGCCCACCCCAACTGACTATCCCCAAAGAGACCAGGTGCTAAGCACTATGGTAAGAGCAAATCCAAGACCTTGGCCTTCTCTCCCCTGTGACCACTGGAGCTATGGGGACAAATGAGAGAATCACTCCCAATATACATGAGCTTTCATTTCGGGGGCCCCAGTCACTAGGCCAGCTAATGTCTTAGATTCTAAGCCATAGCACATACCACCAACACCAAACTTGCCTTCCTGGGAAAAAGGTTAAAAAAAAAAAAGGAAAGAAAAGATAGAGAAATGGCAGAAGCCTTGAGTATTCCCTTTGCTTAGAGGCCTCCTATGAAACACAGTGAACGGTATATTTGTTTAGCATAGACTGTCATCAGAAAAGCAATCAATAAGTGAGAGCAATTCATAACCATTTGCTATGTTAGGTTTATCTTTTATAAGTTACCGAAAAGGCCTGGCAGTAAAGATACAGCATCCGGGCTGGAGTATCTGTACCTGGACTCGACAATGAGAAGCTGGAGGAAAAGCCAGTATCTGATGAACAGCAGCAAGAGCGTTTTGGGAAGGACCTTGGAGCAACTATATAAAGTGTATACCTCCAAGGTAGGTTACAGTCAGTCATTCGTGGAGATCATAAAAAAGTATGTAAACAAAATCTAAATCTTCCTCGAAGAGCATCTTTGGAATGTATATATTTAAATATATATTATATTATAGATATATAGTTAACACACTTATCTAACCCTAGAAGCTTGAGATAAACTCACTCAGAACTAGGCCAGGACAACCAAATCAACCTGACCAAGGCTTTAAGAAATACATCATCATAATCTACACTAATGCCAAGTTGTTGGTTCACTTTCTTAAAAACAAAGAATAATCCATGGCATATGAAGGAACACACAGACCAAACGAAAGCAGCCTGGCAAGGCAATTCTTTTAACAAAAAGGGTGTGCTGGACCCAAACTGGGCTAGCCAGCGTGCTTAGTCAAGATGGCTTCCATCTTTTATCCCTGACTAGACAGCAACCTTGTCTCATCTCATTGATGGGAACTCAGCTTTACAATCTGATGCAATTAGTTAATCAGTGCAAAGGGAACCAGGAAGGGTCAGGAAATATAAGTCCTTGCTAAGCTAACTACCTTTGATTAAAACAAACAAACAAAATTCTCACAATTTGGCACCAAGTGCAACAGTATCACTGGGCAAGATGTGAAATGATTGCTTACCGAAGTCTTCAGGCTGCCAGATCTCTGCCAACTCACTCAGCACTTACTCTTTTATGCACCTAATAGAAATGGGGTGAGAGCTCTCTCCTGTTGCCAGGCAATGTAGGTCTGTGAGCATCGTGCCTTGAGTTGTAGGTTGTTTAAATCATGGTGTTGATGAGTGCTAGTGATTCACGTAAAGGTTCCTCTGGGTCTTCCTTTTAATTAATTATTTTCGAAACAGTAGGCTGAAAGCTAAGGTTTTAGTTTCAGGAGCCCAGAACTGGCTTACCTGAGTGGAGACGAAGCTTACAACCTGGACTTCAGGTAATGAACTGACCAAAGACAGAGATAAGTAGGCCTGCTGCCTCAGGGTGGCCAGCTCTGCAGTGTTCCAGGTTCCATCTGGTTTACTGTGAGTTCTTTCCAGACACGAGTGACAAGTAAAACCAAGCAGTAACTAACACACAGTTCTACTCCATGAATGCATTCCCTGACAAGAGCTTGTGGGCGTGCTTAAAACGACTGCTTCTATACTATGGTAGACCCACCCAATGAATGCAGTCCCTGACAATAACTTATGGGCTTGTTTAAAACAGCTGTTTCTATACCATGGTAGGTTCTTTGCTGGGCTTTTCACCTTTAATTAATTTAATGCTCACCACAAGACTGCTTTAGCTTCTAGTACTACTGCACAAGTCTACCTGAACATTTACTCAGGAGCTGTCACTGTGTGGAGGGAGGGGGGCAGGGGTGGTGCTTGTATTATTCACCAGCCATTAAAAGCAACCTTGAAGCAAAATTACACAGTTAAAATGACTGTAGGCTGTTTGAGTGCATGTGATGTGCCAAGCACTGTTTCAGGTGTTTTTCAGAGTTCTTTAATCTCAATAACAAGCTTGTTTTGAACAACCAGGCTATTGTGTAAAATGAAAACTGACTGAGCGCTTCTGCTTCCCAAGGTGGAGGGAACCTGGAACAGAACCCATCAGTGAGAAAATAAACCCCTGCACTGTTCTCCTCTCCATCCCAGGAACTCCTGGAATGGAGAAGAAAAGATAACACTGCCAAGCCACTGCCGTTCACCTTAGTGGGAGTAGATGACCATTTGATTTTTTGGTTGGCAGATTCCATTAATGACCTTGGGGCGTGAAAGACAGCCCAGTGCCTAGGAGAGAGAAGGCACTACACCTGCTTAGCAGAACAGAAACAGGGAGAAGGGTCAGGTGTGATTCACATCTGTAATCCTAACACTCAGGAGAATCACTGAGGCAGGAGGATCACCATGAGTTCAAGGCCTACCTGGGATATACATGTGACCTCTGGGCTTGTCTGGGTTACAGACTAAAATCTTGCCCACCCTCACCCTAAAACTAAAGGAATTAAGGAATTAAAGAGTGTGTGAGAAGTGAAAGGAACGCTGGGATAGAGCATAAGGATGATGTAAAAGCATCCGATGTTTGAGTAAAACCCACACACGTACAGTGCTTTGAGTGCTTGGTTCTAGAGAGGAAAATGTCAGGAAAGGGGCTGACATCAGGTTTCCATATCTGATTGGCTCAAAATTAGAAAGCAACAGAGCAAACGGCACGTAGGTGTGACTGGATGTTCTTTGGAAGACAGAACCATCTGCCCCCAGTGACTGGGAACCGTCTTCTCTACCCTTTGACCTGGTATTGATCTTCTGATAGTGGGAGGCAAGATCAGACCAGCAAATTGTGTATCACCAGTGTCAAGGGGATTGAGTCCAACAGCCTGGGTACATTTGGAATTGTTCCTATTCTTTTACTTTTGCAAATAAGAACCCTTCAGATTCCTTAATAATCAAACTACACTGCAGTGGCTTACCCTTCTCTAACTATATCTCCAGCTAGACTATGGTCAGAGAGCAATACCCTTAGTCCAGCATCCAATAATCAAGACAGCACTTAACAGACAGGTTAAAGGAATAGAGCTGGGGCCTGGGAGATGGAGATAGCCCTCAAAGCCAAGTGTGGCGAAAGCCTGCAACATCAGCATGGGGTAGAGACGAGCAGATCTCTAGGGTTTGATGACAGCCAGCTTAGCTGAACCTGTGACCTCCAGGTGCAGTGGGAAAATCAGAATAAGATGGAGAAGTAATGGAAGACACCCCCCCAATCAACGTCCGGCCTTCACATGTACCTGCTCAGTCAAAGGCACTCACATAGACGCACACACATTCTAAGAGAAAGGGCCTCCCTGTGTAGCCTAGGCTAGTCAGCTAGTCTTGAACTCATGATCCACCTGCCTTATCCTCCTCAATGCTGTAATAACAGGTATGTGCCACCAGGTCTATCCTGCCTGTTCTATGATCTTTTCCACTCTTCAGTAGCATCTCTTCCCACCAAGGCTGTAACCAATTTAGACATAGCTGTCTGTTACACTTCAGGCTGTAATAATAAATATCATCTATTGTAAGAACAAATACCCTCAATAGATCATCCTTCCATATGGCACCTGGAAGGCATACATATGGCCTTGTTGCCACAGCCAATGCCAGCTCAGAGTAACTGTCAGAGTTCTCAGGAGAAGGATGATGCATTGCCATTCTGTAGCTGCTGTGATTGATTATACAAAAACCAACCAAACAAACAAAAAACCAAGGCTAAGGAAACAGCTTACTTTCCTGGAATGCCAAATCAGAGTAACCAAAACTATGCTACTACACATTTTTAAGTGCTTTTGAATTACCTCAAATAAGTAACTTCAAGAGACCCATTATTGACTTTTCTACCTAAGGAAAGAATAGCGATTTTTTTTTTAAGGAAATGAGTTGCTTTCATTGCTTTTATTATGTCACTGAAATTTTTTTCAATATCAACATCATTGGTTTCGATAAAAGTCACTGTATCATGACACAGATGGAATGGAACCATCCAGAACAAATATAAGAAGTTCCCAAAACATGATAAAGAGACACTACCAAAACAACAGCTTGCCTCTGACTTAGAAGTTGAGCAACCTCTTTGGAGAATCTCACTAGAAGAAATCCAATATCACACGTTAAATTTCACCACTTTCTCTAAGAAGAAAAATGTCAACGTGGCACTGAGAAATGGTTTGGGGGAAAAACAACTCTCATACGAGAGAGGAAGGGGAGCAGGTGACAAAGAGTCCTGATTAAATACAAAGCTGTGTGAAGGCAGTGAGGCATGCACAGGCAGAGGAAATGAGATCCCGACAGCCCGCTCCGCACTGCGCCTATAACATCAGTGGAAAAAACCCAGGTGTAATCTTTGGCCGGTTATTCCAATTTCATTTCCTGAACAAACAATTCTGCACTCCTTTATCATACACTGCTTGCTCAATCAGATGCCTGCTTCCAAAACAACCAAGAAAAATGTAAGTGTCATCTTCACACACAGATCACATGGGACTCCTGTCACATGAGGCTAAAAAAGCTAGGTGGTGGCACATGCCTGTAATCCCAGAGCAGAGGAAGTGCAGTCAGGTGGCTCCCTGAGGTTTGCTGACCAGTCAACCTACTCTAGTTGGCTAGTTCTAGGCCAGGAAAAAAATGCTCAAAGTTGTTCTTTAGCACACACACACACACACACACACATACACACACACACACACACACACACACACACACACACACACAATATGCATGCACACATATACACACAAAACCTGTATGAGTGAAAATGGACTTCTCCCCCTCCATCTTGCGTATCATAGAATTCATGTTCCTGTGGGTGATTTCTCAAGTGCATTAATGAAAGCTTTGAGCTGTAGGCTGGGTAGCTGATAGAAATAGTGAGACTAGTTGGAAATAGAAGACTTGTGCCATTATAACTCTATGTGTTCCTGCAGAGCAATGAAACAGCCTATCTAATATACAATGATGGTGTCCCCAAGTCTACGAACTACAGCAGAAAGTACGGACACACCAAAGGTAAGTAAGTGGTTCTTGGCTTCTCTTGCCTGTTGGGAATCAACATTTTCTTAAGTCTTTCATCTTTAGTATCCTCATATTCCACATTAAAAAGACAGCTTTTGTTTTTATGGCTTATCCTGACTTACTGAGATATGATTGCTATGTAACACTTTACAAAATAATTACATGGCAACAAATATTTACAAAATAATTTGACATGTCAAATCCCTTTTCAGAAATCCCAATTTATTTCTTAAAATTAAAAAAATAATGTGCTTTAAAGTAAGCACTCAAGTACTGGTTGTTCAAATACCAGTTATACATACATACAGTCACATATATATTCACATGTATATATATATATATATATATATATATGTGTGTGTGTGTGTGTGTGTGTGTGTGTGTGTGTGTGTGTGTGTGTATCCATATGTATATATACATGGACATGGACATACACACACCAGCAAGGATACATTGTATGTGTATATGTGTGTGTGAGAGAGAAAGACATGTGCATATACACACTTTTTAGCTAGGTTTTGTTGGTTTTTTATTTGTTTCATTTTTGCAGGCCAGTCAATCTATCACTGAGTTATACCCCCAGAGCATTGATAGGATCTCCCCAAGTTGCTCAAGCTAGCTTTGAACTTCAGATCTTTTTGTCTGACTGTCCCATGTTGCTAGGATCAGAGGTTTATACCCAGCTTATGGAAGTTTACTGAGTTATAATTTGCATTGAATAAAATTCACTCTATTTAATGTGTAACTCCATTTAAACATTTAAAAAATCCTTAAAGTTTTTCTTAATAGTGACTTAATATATGCTTTGTTATACATTGTTACTTGATACAGGAATTCTTAACATAGTAATCTTTGTTATTTTCCATTTACAAACTATGCATAAGTATATGTGTCATAGAAAAATTTTAAATGTAAACAAAAAGTTGTAATCCTAATACTCAGTAGATTATAAAACTATTATAATAATTATTTTTCCAACTCCTTTTAACTTAATATATCTCAAATAACTTCTACAGCAATAAGTATTGTTCAGAATGTTCCAAACCCAAATATCTTCAGAGGAAGCCACATAAGGTCAGCAGGTGACGTGGGGCTGAACTAGCAGGAGACGGGAGAGCACTTACAATGTCTAACAAGGAAACCATTACCCTGAATTTTATGGATGCAATTATTCAGGAGATGATAAAAATTAGTATTTTAGAAAATATTTAGAAATTTAATGGTG